CGTTCCCTTTTTCTTTTGCCCTCAATCTTTCCCAGCATTAGGCTCTTCTCCAGTGAGTCCTTCCTTCTCATTAGGTGGCCAAAGTATTTCAATTTCATCTTCAGGGCCTGGTCTTCTAAAGAGCAGTCAGGGTTGATCTCCTCTAGGACTGACTGGTTTGATTGCCTTGAAGTCCAAGGGACTTGCAGGAGTCTTCTCCAGCACCAGAGTTCAAAGGCCTCAATTTTTTGGCACTTAGCCTTCCTTATGGTCCAACTTTCACAGCCATACATTGCAACTGGGAAAACCATAGCCTTGACTCTACACACTTTTGTTGGCAGAGGGATGTCTCTGCTTTTTAGTATGCTGGGGTCATGTATAGCATGTATGTATTTGTTTCTGTTAAAGTTGATGGTTCTAGCCCAATAACTCACTAATCAAAATGTATTTTATTTTCAAGCTTTTATTTTAGACCTGGATAGATCCTAGGCCTCTTTGATCATTAAACCTTTAACGTTACATTTCTCTCTTTTAGATACACAACTGGAACTGCACAGATTTACCTCAGAGAGACCTTTTTATACCCGAGGGGAGGAGTCAGGAATCAGGTAGGATTATGGAAATGAGGGGGTGTGCATTATTGTTAACCCTTGCAGAAATGTAAGAAGGTAGAGATACAGATAAGATATAAACAAGTTAGACATTTTACATAACAAAACCCCCTCTAAATGTCTAACTGATGGCTTGTACATAATACATACATACATACATACATACATACATACATACATATATATATATATATATATATATATATATATATATATATATATATGTAGGTCTTTGGTTATTCGGGTCTTCTCCCATGTAAAATTGGAAGTGTCTTGGCGACGTTTCGACGAAGTCTCATTCGTCATCTTCAGGCTGGTGTTCTTGGCTTCGTGCTTCCTTTGCTCCTGGAAGCACGAAGCTGAGAACACCAGCCTGAAGATGACGAATGAGACTTCGTCGAAACGTCGCCAAGACACTTCCAATTTTACGTGGGAGAAGACCCGAATAACCAAAGACCTACATACAAACACCCGCGAAAACCTGAGAAAATATATATATGTTTTCTCAGGTTTTTGCGGGTGTTTGTATGTAGGTCAAACAATGTGGCATTGCTCCTGGAAGCACGAAGCCGAGAACACCAGCCTGAAGATGACGAATGAGACTTCGTCGAAACGTCGCCAAGACACTTTCAATTTTATGTGGGAGAAGACCCGAATAACCAAAGACCTACATATATATATATGCATATTCTTTCTAGCCAGGTTTTACCTACGTAAACTAAGTTGTTCTACAGCCCTGGTTCTGTGAAATCTCATTCACAAGTTTCTGGGCCTTTTTTCTGCTGACAAACTGCAACTCTGTGTTGCTCTCTGGGAGACTCAGATAGCTATTTCTGCCTTTTAAGGCATCATCGGTGAGCCACACCCACTTCTCAGATATCCTCCCTGTAAAGGTACAATGTGTCTTTTTCTTTTTCGTAGGCTTTTATGTGCATATTCTTTCTAGCCAGGTTTTACCTACGTAAACTAAGTTGTTCTACAGCCCTATTTCTGCCTTTAAGGCGTCATCCTCCCTGTAAAGGTACAAGAAGTGGGTGTGGCTCACCAATGATGCCTTAAAAGGCAGAAATAGCTATCTGAGTCTCCCAGAGAGCAACACAGAGTTGCAGTTTGTCAGCAGAAAAAAGGCCCAGAAACTTGTGAATGAGATTTCACAGAACCAGGGCTGTAGAACAACTTAGTTTACGTAAGTAAAACCTGGCTAGAAAGAATATGCACATGCACAATTGGGAAACTAATATGCCCTAATTTTCTATGGAGAAGTTGAGCACAATTGTCATGCAAGGGTTGCCTACAGACATTTTACTTTTACTTGGTGAATTACACTTGTCCATTCCTTCTGTTTCTTTGTTTCCTTCTGCCTTATCAGCAGAGTTTATGTTAATGCTTCCCTCCCTGTTTTCTTTGGGTGTAAAGTAAGGTAGTCCATTGTGTATGATTACTTCCCCAATGTTTGTCCCCTGATTTGATACATATACTTTGCCTTTTTTAAACATCACTTTGATGTTTGTGTCTTGTGGGAGTTTTACTGTTGCTAGCACATTGTGTGGAATATCTGGCACATGCAATACTCCCTCTATTTCTCCTATTCCTGGGATATGCACACTTCCTTTACCTATTACTTTAGCCTTACTCTGGTTGGCTACTTTGATCTCAAAATTTGTTTTCATGAGTGAGGTGAATAATCTTGGGTCATGTGAGGTATGGTCAGTGGCTCCCGAGTCTAGGAGCCACATGTTCTTGTATGTTTCTAGTTTGGTGTTTGAGTTCTCGTGTTTAAAACCATATATTGATTCAGAGTATCTATCTCGTGAACTGTTTCTATGCTCGTAATTTCTCCTAGTGCTGGGAGACCAACCACGCTCTCTCTCTCTCAAAGTTCTGTTATCTGGTGAGCTTCCCCTTATGGGCCTTCTTCCGTGCTCGGGTCTCTCCCTACGATCAGTGTATCCTTTGTTTTTGTAGTTCCTGGGACAATCTCTTTTTAAATGGTTTCTAGAACCGCAAGAAAAACATTCCTGTGAATTGCTTACTCTATCTTGGAATTCAACTCTCCTTATAGGTTTGGGTTCCCTTCTAGATATATGGCGGTCCCTTCTCAGGTTGTCTTCTGCAATTAATCGATTTGTGAGTGTGCTCAGGGATATCTGCTCTAAGTTTAGGCTATCTAATTGTGTTACAAAGTTGTCCCAGCTAGAGTCCAATGAATTAATAATAATACTCATCATGCTTTCTTGAGTTATTATTTTCCCCCTTTGTAATAATTCTGCTCTTGTGGCATTAAGTTTCAATAGGTGTTCGCTCATGGGGACCCCTGGCTTGAGTTTTGCAGAGTGAAATTCCCTGGATATTCTAGTGGTGGTTGCTCTGCTTTGACTGTAGAATAAACTATATAATTTTTGCATAACTTCATACACAGTTAGGTTGTTATCTATGCTAGGGTACATAGTGGGTGGTATACTTGTTAACAATAGACAAAATGCTTTGTGGTGGATACAATCAATTTCAAATGACCAGGGTTTTTTTGGAGGTTTAGAAATTAAGAAAAGTACATTTTCTCTCATAAAAATAATCTGTAACTGTTGACTCCATTCTAAAAGGTTTCCTCCATCTAATTGTAATTTTGGAAAATTAATAGGCAGTGTTCCAGAATTATTAGAATAATTACTTACTGGGGGTAGCTGTCCATGGTCTGGGATGTGACTGAATTCACAGTAGGGCAATGGTATGCTTGGGCTAATGGAAAAAAAACTGTCAGTAAATTTTTTTTTCTATCATTGCAGGTGAGTACTGCACATGCGCGAGGCCCATTTTGCGCTGGGAGCTGTTAGGTGAGGAGCTTGCGGCTGCTGCTCCTAGGCCTAGGCCCAGGCCTGCCAATGGAATGCTGGGATCACCTCCTGCACACCTGGATTCTACGCTGGATGCATGGATCTGTCGCTGGGTGGCTGGATCCCTGGTGATGACAGGCAGAAGACGCGGCAGCAAGGCGGTCATAAGACGAGGATCATCGGGGTTTGAAGTCTCTGCGGCGGCGACAGCAGCGGCGACGAGTCTCGGCCCATGGATGATGGTCCCTGGATGATCAGAAAAATCTGGTGGAGGTCGTAGGATAGGTGAGTTGTTGGTATGATTTTCTTTTCTTAGGTCCCGTTCCGGCAGTAGTATGGGTGGTGAGTTCGAATCTTGCCATGTAATTGATTTGTAGGTGGTTGGTGTTTTATTGCTTGTAGTCATGTTGGTTTGTATTTGATTTTCGGGTTTTTCTTCGTTTGTTTTAGAGTTTTGGTTAATTTGCTGTGTTAAATTTGAATATTGGCTTTCTATTGGTTGTTGGCCATTCTAAGATGGCCGTCGGAGCAGGAGCGCGGGAACAGATTCGGCTATTTCTGGGTTGTCCGACTGAGGTGGCTTATCTTTTTCTGAGGTGGTGATTTCTCTAATCATCGCTGATGCTTTGGTAGTTGTTTCATGGCTTATTTAGAGGTTTTGGAGTTTAGCGATAAGACTTTCTTCGCTGGCCTGCATCTCCATTAACCTCATTATGGATAGTCTTAGCTCATCACCTCTTTGTAATTTTCCTTCTTGTTGGTCCTCGTTCCTGAGCAGCAAGGTTTGATTGTTGTCTTGCTCACTCTCAGTTAAAGTAGTTCTTGTAGTGGCATCTTTGGTTGTCAGCTGTGCAGCCATTTTCTTGGTGAAGGCTCTTGTGTTTACTCTGTTTATATTTTCAGAGTAAGCATTTGTTTCAGTCATTTTACAGAGTTATGGGCAACCATCCTCTGCTACCATTTTGTTAAAGTTGATGGTTCTAGCCCAATAACTCACTAATCAAAATGTATTTTATTTTCAAGCTTTTATTTTAGACCTGGATAGATCCTAGGCCTCTTTGATCATTAAACCTTTAACGTTACGTTTCTCTCTTTTAGATAACTGGATTTACCTCAGAGAGACCTTTTTATACCTGAGGGGAGGAGTCAGGAATCAGGTAGGATTATGGAAATGAGGGGGCGTGCATTATTGTTAACCCTTGCAGAAATGTAAGAAGGTAGAGATACAGACAAGATATAAACAAGTTAGACATTTTACAAAACAGTTTCTTTTTCAGTTTTATTTTGTTTTTATAATTCTGTCATCTCAAAATGTATGTGGACACTTTTTCTCCTGGTTTAACTTAAAAAAAAATCATGTTTTGATGTTCTTGGGGAAAAAATAACTTAAGTTCCCATAAAACCAGATTTCAGAGCTACAAGTAAATCATGATGGTAAGCTTGGTAACCTTTTAGGAAAGATAAAGAAACTTATAATTATTTCAATTTTTTAATCTTACCAACCCAAAAGCTTATGTATAAAAATAGAAAATAAAAATAAATTTTTTTAAAAAATAAAAAAATAAAAATAAAAAGGTATTTAAACATGCCTTCTTATCAGTTGTTCCCTGTTGTTTAAATCAGGCCTCAAAACAATAATATAACACTTGGGTAAAAAGATGCAACCTAGGAGCCCAGCACTGGAGGATAAAATGGAGAAGATCTCCACAGCCACCATGGCTTTTCCCCTGGTGCTCAGGTACGTTGGGACAAAAGAGACCCACACACTGCAAAAGGCCAACATGCTGAAGGTGATGAACTTGGCTTCATTAAAGCTGTCAGGCAGTTTACGAGCCTGGAAAGCCACAAAGAAGCTGGCAAATGAAAGGAAGGCCATATAGCTCAGGACACAATAAAACGTAACAACTGACCCTTCATTGCATTGTAGAACCATTTCTTCAGGGACTGAATGCATGTCTAATTCTGGGAATGGGGGAGAGGTGGACAACCACACAGTACAAATGCTAGCTTGGACTAGAGAGCAGAGAAGGACAATAGAAACAGCCAGTCTTTTCCCCACCCATGTCCTCATCCGAGATCCTGGTTTGGTGGCCTTGAAGGCAAGAGAAACAAGGATGGTTTTGGCCAACACACAAGAGATGGACAATGAGAAGATGATGCCAAACGCAGGCTGTCTGAGGAGACAGGTGACTCTCCCAGGTTGTCCAAGAAAGAGGAAAGGGCAGAGGAAGCAGAACAGAAGGGAGATGAGGAGGGTGTAGGTGAGATCTCGATTATTGGCTTTGACAATGGGACTGTCTTTGTGCTTAATAAATGTTCCCAACACCCATGTCGTGGTAAGGAAGAAGAAAGTAGCAACAATGGCTAAACTGAGTCCTAAAACTTCTTTATAAAATAAGAAGTTAATTGTTTTCATGATACATCCATCTTTCTTATGGTTTACATATTGATCATCAGGACATTGAAAGCAAGCAGCAGTGTCTGAAAGAGAAAAAAAAGATTCATAAGAATTATAACTGTGAATTTTCATTTTTATCCACACCCTGATATTTATATATTTGGTACAAAATATACAACCCGCATTAGGAAAATATATTTAAACCTCTCCCTATGTATGGTTTGTGTGTTGTTGGAATTAAGTCAAGGATTACTTTAAAAACGTACAAAAGTATAGCAAACCCCAGGAATATCTCCATCCATGTTTCTTTTAAAACTTCCTTTCTTGTGTTTACCCCATAAGGAGAATATAACTGGAAATAAAAAAGAATTGATTTTAAATAGGGAATAATTTATTTATATTCTTCCTAACATCTACAGTATAATATTTGCATTATTGCTACAATAAATGCTTCATTAGTTTGTCCTGTTTCTTCCGACGGAGGTGGTATTCAGCCGGTTCATCAGAACCGGTAGCGGAAATCGTCCACCCACCCCAGCTCTATGCCATCCTATTTAGGAATGTTTTTGAGGCCGGGCGCATATTGGGAAGGTGCACGCGGCAGTAAAGTGTATATGCAGAAGGCCGGGCACATGCGTGGATGGGGTTAGGGTGTGCACACACATTTGTGAACCTGTAGGGAAAGTAAGTGTATACTTACTTATAGTAAGTGTATACTTACTATACCACCCCTGGTTCCAAAAAAATAATTATTTACTTTTATAAATTTCATTTTGATATTTTGAGAGTGTTCTTATATAATTGGGCACATTGTATTGTATGTTTCTGTATTTCTCATCAATAAGAATAGTTTTCACTGAAAAAACAATTCTTCCTCCTTCCTCCTTCCTTCCTGCTTGCTTGCCAGCCATTTAAGTCAGGGGTGGGTTCTACTTACCTTTACTACCGGTTTGCAGTGGGGCCGCGCACGCACACTTTGCTTGCCCACACGTGTGCTCTTCTGCGCATGCGCAGAAGCGTTTTGATGACATCGAGGTCGGTGGGCGGGGCCTCCTGCCAGTTTTACTACTGGTTCTATAGAACCGGTGCAAACCGGAGGCAACCCACCACTGATTTAAGTCCTTATAATAGTAATAGCACTTAGATGTATAAGTGTACATCTAAGATGTATACCACTTCCTAGTGCTTTACACAGAGGTGGGTTTCACATAATTTTACCACCAGTTTGTCTCACACAGAAAATGTGAGCACTTTACTCATGCGCACGGCTTGCACACATGCACACGGCTTAGAAAACGTGGGTAAATAGGATGGCATAGTTCCAGGGTGGGTGGGCCAGTGGAGCTGGTGGCAGACTCAGACAGTGAGGAGATTGGGGAGAAACATGGGCCAGGGGAAGGTTCTGACGAGTGCTCTGCATCAGAGGCAGAGATGGGGCCAGGGCCGTCTGACAGTTGTCAGCTGCCTTCAGAGTCAGACATAAGTGGGGCAGAAGAACAGCTGGAGCCTGTCCCCAGTGTGCGCATGGACAGAGCTGCCAGGAGAAGGGAACAGCTAAGGAACAAGGGTTGACTCAGGAGTAGGGTGGATGGCGAATGCCCCCCCCATAGGGAATAAAGAGGAGCGAAAGGGGAGTGGAGTTTGCAGGAGACAATTAGTTCGCTTAATTGGTTCATGGCTCATTGCCAAGTTTTGAAGATATCGGCCTGGCAGCTCTCCAAGCCAGATAAGGTCTGTGACTGTAAATTCTTTCTTGCTGGATGTGAATGAGAGGAATTCACAGTAACTTAATAAAAAGGGATTTTTGTCGGGACAAGGAGTCTGCTTCACGCTCTTGGGAAGCCTAGGTCAGAACAGCCACTACCAGTTTACCAGAACTTGTTCAAACCGGCTGAATACCACCACCGGCTTTACAGCCCTCTCTAAGTGGTTTACAGAGTCGGCATATTGCCCTCAACAATCTGACTGCTCATTTTACTGATCTTGGAAGGATGGGTGACTGATACAACCTTGAGCGGGTTAGGCTCAAACTGTGGAAATGAGCACAGTCCGCCTGCATTCCTGCATTCTAAATATTGTGCCACCATCGCTACGTAATATACAGTATGCAGATATTTTAATTTTCTAATCATTTTGTTTCTTATATTTTGTCTGTATTTGACAAAAAAAAGTTCTGAAATGATCACATTTTTTTGCTCCCCTTGTGCACTCTTCATGGTTATTATTTTTCAAATCGCTATTAGGATGGTTGCTTGATTATAAAAAGCCTAACCCATTCGTGGGCATTTTATTTAATTAATTAAAACATTGTTGTAATCATTGTTATGTCATCATCATCATCATCATTGGCATCCTTCAGCCTCAAGAGACTATAGTATCGTGCTCTGGAAAGAGGTCCTAAAACAGCATCTGGTGTGACTAAAAAAGCCCAATTCGAGAGTGGCAATCCCTTCCACACTGCGGGAAGATACATTCCGTCCCCTGCCCAGCCCTCAGATTTTGCTGGTTCCGGGACTGCCTCTTTGCCTCAGCCTGCCGAAACAAGTGTCTCTTCGAATTGGAGAAGGCCATGCTGCGTCTTTAGCCTCCAAGCTGAACGATCAGAGGTCAAGGTTTCCCAGTTGTTAATGTCCATTCCCAGGGCCTTTAGGTCCCTCTTGCAGATATCCTTATATCGCAGCTGTGGTCATCATCATCACTTGAAAATTCCATGGTTAGAACCTATCATTTCTAATCTTGTGAATTTAATTGCATTTCCCCATTTAATTTCTGAATAAAATCTCACGAAGGCACGACTGGAAAATTTAATGAGCTGATTTCATTTCATTTCATTAACTGATTTAATCAGCACCACAAACCGTACAGCCACAAAATCAGAAGATTTTTTTTTTTTAACTTACCCATTTCTTTAGAGATTTTCCCTTCTGGACATGGAACACAATCGTAACAGCAGAATTTTTTCCCTTCATTCTTCCTTTTTTGATAACCAGGGTGACAATAGTCGTTGCACAGAGAAATGGGAAGCACCTAGTTTTCAATATTAAAATGTTGGCAGAAGATTTATTGTTTTGAAGAAAAATGATTTTCTACCTTCCATGCCTTCCCTGATCTTTGCAGTTTCTGCCTCCAGCATATCCTAGCTTTCTCTTCCATTCCTGCCATGGAGAGGCACCTGCGGAGGGTGGAACCTGCGGAGATTGGGGAAGGTCCTGCCCCCGCGCATGCATGGCAGAGACCCAAAGACCAGCTGCTGCACGCACACATGCAAGGTGGAGCTGGGCTGGGGCGACGGCTGGCATGCCCACAGAGAAGGCTCTGCATGCCACCTGTGGCACACATGCCATAGGTTCACCATCATGGGTATATGGTCTCCTGCTAGAGCAGTGGGTTGGACTAGAAGACCTCCAAGGTCCCTTCCAACTCTATTATGTCATTTCTTAATCCTGTTAATCTTCACGAATTGCCGAGAAAGATAAAAGTAGATATGAACCCATCTGAGAAACGTTCATACAAACATTCCTTGAAACAATACCTGGTTAAATGATCTATGCCAGATTATCATGTCTTCATTTATGTCTAATTCCTTTCCACTCGGAGCATCTGGATCCACTTTTCCAACCTTTCGTCTCTGGAAGGTGGAATTGGGAAAGGTGACTATGTTGATGATATCAAATAGCCCTTCCATCTTCTTTTGATCATAAAAAACCAAGGCCTCTCCAAGCGAATTATTGAACTTCATGTCTTTAAGAAATTGGTGGAGCTATATTATTTTTTTTTTAAAAAAATAGAAAAATGAAGAATAGAAAGGTATGAGTCATTTAGTCTTGGTTGTAATATACCTTTCAGGGAGACACTCTGAAAACATGGGAAATCCACTTCTGTACCCCTTTGAGAACCTGTTTACAAGCCTCTGCATATGCAGGTAATAAGAAGGATCAGATAGTTTGAGCAATTGTCAAATGAGGAATAAAATGGATTCTATGCCAGCAATTTAACAACCGGTTCGCCCAAACCGGCCTGAACAGGTTGAATCCCACCACTGGTGATATGTCTAAAATGCTACAGGGTTTGAAAACCAGGCCCTGGATCTTAATTCATTTAAGCCATCCTTGCATCCTGAAGATGTCCAGGGAACGTAATAGAAGACATAGTAAAGTGATGGAAATAAAATTATACACCTAAATATTACCAAAGGACAGATGTTCATTTTAATAACTGCTTCTTCCTTGTTGGAATCACATCACCCTAATTTTGAACCAGTGGTGAAATCCAAATTTTTTTACTACTGGTTCTGTGGGTGTGGCTTGGTGGGCATGGTAGGGAAAGGATACTGCAAAATCTCCATTCCCACCCCACTCCAGGGGAAAGATACTGCAAAATCCCCATTTCCCTCCCCACTCCTGGGGGAAGGATATTGCAAAATATCCATTCCCACCCCACTCTGGAGCCAGCCAGAGGTGGTATTTGCTGGTTCTCCAAACTACTCAAAATTTCCACTACCGGTTCTCCAAACTGCTCAAAATTTCCGCTACTGGTTCTCCAGAACCTGTCAGAACCTGCTGTATTTCACCCCTGCTTTGAACTTTACCTTTATCTAGTATAAAGTAGTTGTAGCACACAATTCACCTGCCATGGTTGTGCGTCTTCATATCCCGATAATTGGTGCCTCACCAAATTCCTGGGGTTAGATCGAAGTAAGGAGAGAGCATGTAAAGCTTCAGCCAATACATAGACAGCATTATAAATACTATAGCTGTGCCCAGTCAATTGCACCTCAAAAAGTGCCCCAGGAATGTTCTCCAGCCTCTCCTCTCCTGTACAAGTGTCATCATCCAGAAGAGTCATAGGAGGAGATGGCAATGAACAATCAAATACTTGTTCCCAGAAAAGTGGGAAAAACCCATCTTCTTGAATCCAAGGAGGCTTCATGACCTTCAGGAATTCCTTGAACCCTGGAATGTCTCTGGAGTGAATGGTTAAAAAAATGGCCCCATCAAAGAGCTGCCGATCCCATTTTCTTTGCATTCCCGTTAATATGTAATCCATCTGGGCAGTCATGATCCACACTTTCCCCAAAGAACTCTGCCCAAGTCCGGGATCGATCCAAAAAATGATACTCGTCACCCATATAACCGACAAAGATTCTCCGCAGATGATAAAGGTGTTGATCTGTTTGGTAGTGATTTGGTTGTAAATGTTTTTCCCTTTCTCCATCATCTCAAATAATTTATCCCAGTAAGTTAAGAAAGGAATTCTTTGTGTACAAGCAGAGCAGATTCCGTGCTGGGAAAAGAGGGACTCCATGGTCTGCAGAAAATAATCTCCGTGCCTATTATCAATAGCAAGGAGCCCAACCCATCTCCACCCAAAATGCTGAAGCAGTCGGATAATCCCAATATATTGGGTGGACTCATTTGGGACCATGGAGTAATAGAAGGGAATCTCAGCACTATGAATATCCTGCGGGGTAAATGACCCATATGTAAGCTAAAAGAAAAGAAACACATATTATACTGTCAATACCAGCATCTATTTCTTACATATTTAGTTTTGCATGTACTGACAGCAGCAAGGATTGCATTTGCAAATATTGGAAAAATGAGAACACCCCGACCAGATGAGGATGCAATTCGGAAAATGTTAGATTGTGCTGAGATGGACAGACTGACTTTAAAACTAAAAGACAGAGAAGGCAGAATATTACTTGATACGGAATAGATTCTATGAATGGTTAGAGAGAAGAGGTAGAAATTAGATTATTGCTATGTATGAATTAAATATAAAGATGATTTATCATTTATAAATATGCCAATATAATTAACAAAATTATAAATAAGCCAATATAAAGAGAAATTTAGCCAAACTATTCTGTTACGTTATCACTATTGCTACTAGTATATGTGTTAATATTTCTTTTTGTCTTTTCCTTGTTTTTTCTTTTGTAAATGATACACCCTGACGATACACAGAATTCAAAATGTTTATGAATAAAATAAATTAAAAAAACCCATCTATTTCTCTTTTGCTATTTGTGAAACTAATACTGGTCAACATTGATCAGATTGTTGAGCTATGTGGACATTATTCAGAGACAATCAATTTTTTTTAAATATAAAAGTTATTATTTTTTAAAAAAAGATAAACATACAATTTTCCCTTAAACAGCGTGTCATCTGGATACGAATAGCTCTGTGCAATAACCATTAAAATTTACAACAACATTCATTACATTAATATTAATTCTCTAATCTTACATTTGTAGTCTATTGAACAATTGAACATAGTAACTTATTCATTTTTCCCTCTTAACATATCTTCTAATAAGAATACAATAATAATATTGAGCATAATAATCCTAATAATAACAATTACAATGTTTACATCTCTATCTTGACATAGTTTCTACTCTTCTTTAATCTCTTTCTTTTATTTCCAACTTCCATTTTTATTCTCTAACAATTGAATAAAATAATCCCCATATCATATAATATTCAGTTTGTCCTTTCTCCTTAATTGCAAGCATTAATCTGTTCATTTCTGCACATTCTAATATTTTCCTAATCACATTCTCATCAGTCGGGACCTCTTCACTTTTCCAAATTCATGCAAATACTATTCCAGCTGCAGTTAATACATGAATAAATATATGTTCTCTTTACTATAAATTTCAGGTAAAACCCCCAACAAAAATATTTCTGATTTTAAATCAATGTGCTGTTTTATCATCTTTTCCACCATGTATTTTTGTCCAGTATTTTTTTGCTTCTACACATGTCCACCACATATGATAATAAGACCTAGGTATCAGGTGGTATATAGGGATGCGGTGGCTCAGTGGCTAAGATGCTGAGCTTGTCAATCGAAAGGTCGGCAGTTCAGTGGTTCAAATCCCTAGTGCCGCATAACAGGGTGAGCTCCCGTTATTTGTCCCAGCTTCTGCCAACCTAGCAGTTCGAAAGCATGTAAAAAATGCAAGTAGAAAAATAGGGACCACCTTTGGTGGGAAGGTAACAGTGTTTTGTGCACATTTGGCATTTAGTCATGCCAGCCACATGACCATGGAGACATCTTCGGACAGCACTGGCTCTTCAACTTTGAAATGGAGATGAGCACTGCTCCCTAGAGTTGGGAATGACTAGCACATATGTGTGAGGGGAACCTTTATCTTTACCTTTACCTATCTGGTGGCACTTCCAACATTTGGCTGACTTATCTTTAAACATCTTTGCCAACCTCGCCGGTGCAAAGTGCCATCTATAAAACATTTTATACAGATTTTCTTTATATGCAGTTGACATCGTTAATTTGTAATTCCTGTCCCACAGTTTCTGCCATTTATCTAATTCTATTGTATGACCAAAACTGTTTTCCTGTGCAATCATTGAAAAACAATCAATTGTTGATAAACTTGCTTGAGAAAAAGAAAGGAGGAGGGAATTTTTATGCCTCCGTTCTCAAAGATCCTACCTGTGGAATCTTGTAAAACTGTAAAAGGTTAGCGATATAGGAGGAAGTTTCAAAGCTGAGTCCCCCAATGATGGAAATGAGATTCTTCCTGGTGTCACACTTATAGTTGGGGACAAATTTTTGTAACCTGAAGAGGAGGTCTATAGTAGTTCGATAGGTCATCATAGCATTGTAGTAGCTGTCATGGATATGGAAGCCAAGAGTGATGTTGGACAAGATTTTTGGATTCTCATTGATCTCCTTCACAGCAAAGACCAAGGAAAGGACATGCTGGTAGAATTTTGTCAGCGCTCTAAAAATAGGATAATTTATAGATATCATTAACTACGTCTAGATTATTGTCGCAAGTGCTTCACTCCGTATGCATGTGTATATGAAATGGCGGATCCATTTCTATTGCTTAGTCTATGACAACTAACTAGAGGTTCTTGTCTAAAGTTTCACATAGTTCCTGACTGACAAAAATGTTCTTTGGTTTTGAAGAAGTAAAATTGTTCTGTTGTTGTCACGCTATAAACTAGTTCACAGGAAGCTCTATTTACAAGGTAGAAACTTCCACATTTCTTGTAGCTGTATATAATAATAATAGTAATAGCAATAGTAATAGTAATAATATAATTTCTAACAGTTAATAAAGTTCTACCAGCAAATGGGGAGAACATTGGTGAAGTCAACATCAGACGAGGAATCTTCCAGGGAGACTCACTTTCACCACTACCATTCAACATGACAATTCCATTGACAATAATCCTATGAAACACAAAACTGGGATACCAAATCTCATGCCAACATGGCAAGATAAACCATTTACTATACATGGACGACTTAAAAATGTATGCAAAAAGTCCCACTGAACTTAAATCAATATTCAACACAGTTCAACTGTTCAGCAGCGGCATCAAAATGAACTTTGGACTTGAAAAATGTGCTATATTATCCATGCAGCAAGGAAAAATGGAAAAAATAGAAGGAATAGAACTGGGAAATGGAAACATAGTAAAAGCATTAACAAAGGATGATGGTTACAAATACCTATGCATATTGGAAGCAGATATCGTCTTGAATGGAAACATCAAAGAGTCAACGCAAAAGGAATACATCAGGAGGGTCCACAAAATATTAAAATCAAAGCTGAATGCTGGAAACATAATTAAAGCCATTAATACATGGGCAGTTCCAGTGATACGCTACTCAGCTGGAATCATCAACTGGACTGTGGCTGAACTGGAAAACTTGGACCAGAAAACGCACAAACTTTTGAATATGTTCCACGCTTTACATACAGGAAGTGACATTGACAGGTTGTACCTGCCAAGAAAAATAGGGGGCAGAGGACTATTGCAAATCCATCAAACTGTAGAAGAAGAAAAACGAAGTTTGAATGATTATGTGAACCAAAGTACAGAAAAATTGCTGCAGGCTGTGAAGACAGAGAACATTATAAAAACAATAGAAACAAAGGCAGAATATAAGGAAAAACAGCTGGATTACAGATTAAATAGATGGAAAACCAAAGCTTTGGATGGACAGCACTTGAAAAAATTGAAGGAAAATGTGATGACAACTTTACATGGGCATGGCTTAAGATGGGAGCCATCAAGAAAGAAACAGAAGGTTCAATACTAGCTGCTCAAGAACAAGCACTACAAACTAATGCCATGAAAACAAAGATACAAAAATCCACCGACAATCCAAACTGCCAACTTTGCAACAACAAAGTCAAAACTGTTTCACATTTAATATGTGAATGCAGCAAAATCTCACAAACTGGTTATAAAGATAGACACGACCGAGTTGCTAAATTAATCCACTGGTCATTATGTAAAAAATACAACTTACCTGTATCCAAAAAGTCATGGGAACATAAAGTGGAAAAAGTTATAGAAAATGAGAAGATGAAGATCTTGTGGGACTTTTGAATACAGACAGATCATCACTTGGAACACAACACACCAGATATCACAGTTGTTTAAAACTGAAATGTACAATTTAGTGACATTGCAGTACCAGGAGATGCCAGAGTCAAAGAAAAAGAACTGAAAAAAATCATGAAATATTGCGACCTGGCCATCGAAACTCCACGGCCATGGATGAAAGATGTAACAATGATACCCATTGTCATTGGGGCACTTGGTACCATGTCCAAGAATTTTATAAGATACATCAACAAATTGCAGCTTCCTGCAATAACACCAGCGGAACTGCAAAAAACTGTGCTACTTGGAATATCGTACATCTTAAGAAGGGACTTGGTTGATACCTAGGACGCTGGCAGCAACCTGTATCAACCATTAGCATCAGTCAGTGGTATTTGTGATGCATTTTTGAATGTTCAGTTTCATGTTTGAAACTGAACATTCAATTTAAACATGAAACTCATGACTCATAAATTTAAACTCATAAATGCATCAATTTAAACATGAAACTCGTGATTGAATTTCATGTTTAATGAATAAAGTATATAATAATAATACACCAGTGGCCAAAATTGTGGAAACTTTTTGGGAAAAGTGTATTTTTGAGGTTTGATGGCTAATAACACCACTTTTTTTGAGTTTCAGGATAATCCTATTCCACTGCTGGAATGGCCCAGACCTTAACCCAATTTAACATCTATGGAGCCAACTAAAGAAACTTGTTAGTCAGAAGTGACCCAGCAGTAAAACCCACTTAATAGAAGCAATCATTCAATCTTGGTTTTACATCATAACAGCTGCAGAACTAAAAGACTTGGTTCACTCCATGGGAAGATGTTGTAAGGCCATAATTCATGCTAAATTCATGCTTACCCAACTAAGTATTAACTGAGGTGATAATTTTTGTATATCTCATTTTTTCTCTGGGGATAATTTTTATATATCTCGTTTTTTTCTACATGTTTCACTTTTCTTCTTTATACTGTAACTGCTATTCTAATAGCAAATCCTTCATAAACATTACTGCATTACATTCTTGATTAAATTATCTTTCCATTGATATATAACTTTATGGTACTACTCCAAAGAAAAGTGGTGTTATTAGCTAGTTTTAGAAAATACACTTTTCCCAAAAGGTTTCCACAATTTTGACCACTGCTATAGTCTCCCTTTATTTCTTTGTTGGTAAATTTAAATTTAACACAAAATAGTTTGTTGCAGAAGCAACTGCCTGCAAAGGCTCCTGGACTGGAGCTGAAAGGCGGAATTGGAAGCAGTATGCTCCGTCCCATTTTTGGGTAGACCAGGTTGCCTGATAGACCGGTCTCACTGGAAAAACACTTTAATATATATATTTTCCCCTAGGTATTCTCCTTTTGACATAAAGGAGATTTTAATCTATTGTTTCATCTTTCCAAACATAGAATTTAGTTGCATCTTTAAAAAAACAATAGCTTTATTACACTCCATATTCAGAGTAAGCAAATCTTACGCTCTTCGCCAAATCATTCCTTGTTTTTTTCTATATATGTTGAATAGAATAGAATAGAATAGAATAGAATAGAATAGAATAGAATAGATAGAATAGAATAGAATAGAATTTTTTATTGGCCAAGCGTCATTGGACACACAAGGAATTTGTCTTGGTGCATACGCTCTCAGTATGCATAAAAGAAAAGATATGTTGAATAGAATAGGAATAACAGAGTTGGAAGGGGTCTTGGAGGCCTTCTAGTCTAACCCCCTGCTTAGGCAGGAAACCCTAAACCACTTCAGACAAATGGTTATCCAACCTCTTCTTAAAAATTTCCAGTGTTGGAGCATTCACAACTTCTGGAGGCAAGTTGTTCCACTGATTAATTGTTCTAACTGTCAGAAAATTTCTCCTTAGTTCTAAGTTGCTTCTCTCCTTGATTAGTTTCCACCCATTGCTTCTCCTCCTGCCCTCAGGTGCTTTGGAGAATAGCTTGACTCCCTCTTCTTTGTGGCAGCCCCTGAGATATTGGAACTCCTAGTCCTTTTCATTAAACTAGACATACCCAGTTCTTGCAACTGTTCTTCATATGTTTCAGCCTCCAGTCCCCTCATCATCTTGGTTGCTCTTCTCTGCACTCTTTCTAGAGTCTCAACATCTTTTTTTTACATCGTAGTGACCAAAACTGAATGCAGTATTCCAAGTGTGGCCTTACCAAGGCATTATAAAGTGGTATAAACACTTCACGTGATGTTGGCACCTATTCTTTAGAGTTAAAAGCTGTTTGAAAAAAAGCACATGAAAACTCGATCTGGATAAGTAACTGCTTGAGTTTTCATGGAGTTTTGGGCTGTAGGCTAAAGAAGACTTTTGTGCTCTCATTAAGATACTTCATTTTGTTTTTAAGAAAATGACATGAGAAGGTGAATATAAATTGCTGGATCACAAATCTCTAAGACACAGGGATTTAATAAAATGAAAACAATCTTTAAAAGATAACCTCAGTCTATTAAGAATAAATAAGAATAGAATTTACTGATTTGTTATTTTTTTTAAAGAGAGCATCAACATCCAACTTCAAACAAAGTTCATTTGAAAGACAGAATTAGAAATTTATCTACAGCGCTCTTTATAACTGAAAAGATTCTCTCTCTCTCTCTTTCTCTCATCTATCTATCTATCTATCTATCTATCTATCTATCTATCTATCTATACAGTATATCATCTTTCCAAACATAGAATTTTGTTGCATCATAAACAAACAGTAGCATTATTATACTCCATATTCCATCATGCTGCATCTTTCATCAGAAAGGGTCCACATAATATAATCTAATAACAGAGTTGGAAGGGACCTTGGAGGTCTTCTAGTCCAACCCCCTGCTTAGGCAGGAAACCCTACACCACGTCAGACAAATGGGAAGAAAATTTACTCACCCCCCCCCCATTTATTACAATCCCTCTACCTAGAGATGCCACAAAGGTGAAAAGATAAGAATTCCTTACTCTGGATTGCCAAAATATTCCTGAGAGGGATGCTGCTGAAATGAGAGTTCGTTGAAATGGTAGTTCGCCATGGATACCATTTCACCAATGACAAGGTCCCCTTCCTGGTACCATTCATTCGGGACAATTATGGGATCACCTGGATCACAGGGCAAAGATTGAACTCTGAAAAGTGGAAATAGGAGAAGAAAGAACATTTGGGCAGCAAATGCTCTCTAAGTATAGAACTTTCACTACCAGCAGCTTCCAATATTAGTCTGCGTTCACCGGTCTCAAAATTCCTATTAGGAGTAAGGATGAAGATTAAGTTTTAGCCCTGATTCTTCTTGCATATAGCGCTTAAATGCAGACGTTCCAAATGGCACTGAAGACAAATGAATTTTGGGGCAGTTGAAATCTCAGGGCTTGTGTGTCATTTTCTTCTCCTACCCAATCTCCACGGGAAAGACTGTTCCTTGATTTTCATTTCTCTAAAGTCTTAGTTAACTCCTACCCTCAAAACGACGCTATAGAGCACTGCACACCAGAATAACTAGACACTAGAACAGTTTTTTCCCAAACGCCATCACTCTGCTAAACAAATAATTCCCTCAACACTGACAAACTAGTTATTAAGTCTGCATTACTGTTAATTTTCTCATTGTTCCTATCACCCATCTCCTCCCACTTATGACTGTATGACTGTAACCTTGTTGCTGGTATCCTTACGATTTATATTGACTGTTTCCTAATATGATTTGATTGCTTATTTGTTCCCTATGACTATCATTAAATGTTGTACCTTATGATTCTTGATGAATGTATCTTTTCTTTTATGTACACCGAGAGCATATGGACCAAGACAAATTCCTTGTGTGTCCAATCACACTTGGCCAATAAAGAATTCTATTCTATTCTATTCTATTCTGTTCTGTTCTGTTCTGTTCTGTTCCGTTCCGTTCCGTTCCGTTCCGTTCCGTTCCGTTCCGTTCCGTTCCGTTCCATTCCATTCCATTCCATTCTATTCTATTCTATTCTGTTCTATTCTATTCTATTCTATTCTATTCTATTCTATTCTAGTGTTTACAGATTTTACAAAGAGAACAAATTATTATCTTTAGAATAATTCTAGTGGGGAACAAAATTATGCCTTCAGCATTTTTTTCTTCCACTGTTGGACATATATATATATATATTTAAGGATATTGAATTTAATATGTCCTAATTTCTTTTCTCTTTGTGGCATGATGAGCCATGGTGGCGCAGTGGTTAGAATGCAGTACTGCAGGCTACTTCTGCCGGCTTCCTGCAATTTGGCAGTTCAAATCTCACCAGGCTCAAGGTTGACTCAGCCTTCTATCCTTCTGAGGTGGGCAAAATGAGGACCTAAATTGTTGGGGGAAATATGCTGACCAGAGGTAGGTTTCACATATTTTTACCACCGGTTTGCCCCGAGCACGCACCTTCCGCACATGTGCTTTGCTCATACACGCAGCTTGCATGCATGCGCCCAGTTTAGAAAATGTGGCTAAATAGGACGGCATAGCACCGGGGTGAGTGGGCAGGCCCATCCATCATTTCCACTACCGGTTTGCACAAACCGGTCTGAACCAGCTGAATGCCACCACTGATGCTGACTCTGTAAACCGCTTAGAGTGGGCTGTAAAGCATTGTAAAGTGGTATATAAGTCTAAGTGCTATTGCTATTTCTATGATAACTGGAAAAATTCAGAGGGGTATTTCAAAGCCATTCTCTGACTATTAAAACTTGGATGATTTTCTATTTTGGAAAAGTAAGAAAGAAAGGAGGGGGAAAAACCTCACCAAATAACAGAACATTTGAGTAAAAGCCAGGATTTAAACTTTGCATCATTTAGTAACCGAAAATATGCATGTGCACCGAGCGGCTGCTCTTCCGCTTTCTGGTGTTCCACCATCACATGTGAAGACCAGCTGGCCAGTTCACCGGAACCCAGAAGAGCAACGGGCAATGGCTCATGGGCCCAAAGATGCAGAGAGGGGATCCCAGCAATCACTTTCTAGAAAAGCAGAGCTGTTGACCAGGACAGGTGGTCAGAAAATTTCTCCTTAGTTCTAATCTGCTTCTCTCCTTGATTAGTTTCCACCCATTGCTTCTTGTCCTACCCTCAGGTGCTTTTGAGAATAGCTTGACTCCCTCTTCTTTGTGGCAGCCCCTGAGTTATTGGAACACTGCTATCATGTCTCCCCTAGTCCTTCTTTTCATTAAATTAGACATACCCAGTTCCTGCAACCAGTCTTCATGTTTTATCCTCCAGTCCCCTAATCATCTTTGTTGCTCTTCTCTGCACTCTTTCTAGAGTCTCAACATCTTTTTTACATCGTGGCGACCAAAACTGAATGCAGTATTCCAAGTGTGGCCTTACCAAGGCATTATAAAGTGGTATTAACACTTCATGTGAAGATAAAGATAAAAGTTTCCCCTGGCCAGTCGTTTCTGATTCTAATGGGTGGTGCTCATCTCCATTCCTTAGCTGAGGGAACCAGCTTCATCTGAATCCTTTCCCATGGTTACGTGTTCAGCATTACTATATGCTGAGCAATAGCAGTGGCACTTAGAGTTATATACCGCTTTACAGTGCTTTACAACTCTCTCTAAGCAGTTTACAGAGTCAGCATATTGCCCACAACACTTTGGGTCCTCATTTTACCCACCTTGAAAGGATGGAAGGCTGAGTCAACTTTGAACCTGGTGAGATTTGAACTGCCAAATTGCTGGCAGCCGGCAGTCAACAGAAAATAGCCTGCAGTGCAGCATTCTAACCATTGCGCCACCAAAGCTCATAGGTTGTGGGGCTTATGGAACACTGTTATCTTCCCACCTAAGTGGTACCTATTTATCTACTCACATTTGCATGCTTTCTGCTAAGTGGGCAGGAGCTTGGGCAAGTAACGGGAGCTCACCCATCACATGGCACCTGTATCTCAAACGCAGGCTGTCAGCTTTCCAGTGAACAAACTCAGTGGCTTTAACTGCTGAGCCATCATGCCCCCGATGTGCTTTAACCTTCGCTTATTTTCCAGTCTTTATCAAATTGTATTAAACACCTATGTGAAAGGAAAGTGTAATAGCTGTTACCTGCCAAGGCTGGAGATTTGTGAGTTGAATCACTTTTCCCACCATCCTTTTGTTCCGATTTTGTCCATTTGATAGTAAAGTTTGCAAAGAATGCGCCACAGTGTAGACACCATTATAGATACCGTAACTATGACCAGTCATTTCCATTTCAAAGATCACTTCCGGCAGCCTCTCCAGTTTTTCTTCCCCAGTGCATTGTCCAGTATCCATTTTTGGAAATCCCGAATGAGGAAAGAAACAGTCAAATGCTTGCTCCCAAAATTCCTTTATAAATCCATCTCTCTGCCTTAAAGGTTTTATGGACTGAACAAAATCCGGAAATCCCAAAACATTGTTTGATTGGATTTGAAAGGAAATGGCCCCATTGAACAATTGCAGATTCCAAGTCTTTTGAATTCCTGTGAGTATAAAATCCAACTGACTGGTCATGACCCAAACTTTTGTAAAGGACATATTCACTTCAAAGGTAGGATCCAACAAAAATATGACACTTGTGAACCATACAAGCAACAAAGATTCTCCATAAATGATAAATGTGTTTGCCTTGTTGTCTATGTAAAGTTGATGAAGAGTAGATGTTATGCCACCAAATTTATCCAAGTTATCAAAAGTGGGAATTCCTGGGACCTGTTGCAGGAAGGCTGAACAGATTTCGTTCTGTAAGAGCAAAAGCTGCAGTTTATGCAAAAATTGTTCTCCGCTGTCAGACTCGGAAGCAAAAAGGCCCAACCCACTTCCATCCAAATTGTTGTAGCAATCGTAAAATCCCAATGTATAGAGTAGCTTCATTTGGGGCCATAAAATAAAGTGAGGATAATTGACTACCATAAAATGCTTCCGGTGGATAGGAACCATAAGTCAGCTGAAAGAAAGTCAAAACAGGTTGAACTAGATTAATGGAATAATAGAATAACAGAGTTGGAAAGGACCTTGGAGGTCTTCTAGTCCAACTTTGGCTCAAGCAGAAAACCCTATACCATTTCAGACAAATGGTTGTCCAATCTCTTCTTAAAAAGAGCACCCACAAGTTCTGGAGGCAAGTCTGATTAATTGTTCTCACTGTCAGGAAATTTCTCCTAGTTCTAGGTCGCTTCTCTCCTTTAGTAGTTTCCATCCATTGCTCCTTGTCCTGCCTTCAGATGCTTTGGAGTATAGGTTGACCTGCCTCTTCTTCCTGGAAGCCATTTAGATATTTGAACAATACTATCATGCCACCCCCTAGTCCTTCTTTTCATGAAACTAGATAAAGGTAAGGATTCCCCTTGCACATATGTACTAGTCATTCCCAACTCTAGGGGGCGGTGCTCATCTCCGTTTCAAAGCCAAAGAGCCAGCGCTGTCGAAAGACATCTCCGTGGTCATATGACTGGCATGACTAAATGCCAAAGGCACATGGAATTTGCGGGACCGCCTACTACCACCAATAGCCTCCCACCGGCTGGTACGCTCTCATAGAGAGGGGCTCCTCCGGGTGCCATCGGCCAAACAATGTCAACTGGCAGCCCCCAGGGGGAGACCCTTCTCTGTGGGGGCACCTACTATCTGGAACGAGCTCCCCCCGGAGATACGGAGGACCCCGGATCTGGGCACCTTCCGCTGCGCTCTAAAGACCTTTTTATTTCACCAGGCGGGCCTGGCCAACTTTCTCCCTCTTTTTAAACAATTTTAATAATTTTAATATTTTTTAATATTTTTAATACTCAAAGTTTAAATTTGTTTTAAATTGATTGGGGTTTTAATTTGTCTGGGCCAAACTATTTAATTTGATTTTATTTCTGCTTTTTAAATTTTGTATATATGTATTTTATTGTTGGCTGTTCACCGCCTGAGTCCTTTGGGAGTAGGGCAGTATATAAATCAAATAAAAGTAAAGTAAAGTAAAGGAACGCTGTTACCTTCCTGCCTTCCCAAAGGTGATCTCTATTTTTCTACTTGCATTTTTTATGGGCTTTCAAACTGCTAGGTTGGCAGAAGCTGGGACAAGTAATGGGAGCTTACCCCGTTACGCGGCACTTGGGATTCGAACCGCTGAACAATATTAGGCAACCCTCTCAAATATGATTAATTTCTAAACAAATGACTTGGTTAATTAATCCCCATATCTACACCAACCTGAGGTATCTTGTAGAAATCTATAATTCCTGCAATTTGGGAAGAAGTATCAGACCCAAGTCCTCCAAGAATGGCCATGAGATTTTTAGGAATGCCATATTCATAGTTGGGAAGAAATCTGTTTGATTTGAAAAGCAGGTCCAGAGTGGTCCGATAAGTCATTCTTGGATCATAGAAACTGTCTGAGATGTGGAGACCAAGTGTGACATTGGATAGGATTTGTGGATCCCGGTTGATCTCCTCAATAGCAAATTCTAAGGAAAGGACATGCTGGTAGAATTTTGTGATCATACTAAAAATAAATAAAGTCTACAGTCAATGAATTGATTCATATAAAATGATACTTTTTGGCTGTGACTAGAACTGGAATTGAAAGGTCAAACTTTTTTTGGTGCTAATATTTCAGAATTACGCAGCTTGACATAGCACTAAATTGCAAATATGTTTGGGAAAGTCGCCATTGTATTATTCGTTCCGTTATATCTGAAAATTTACTCTTAAAGACATACAATTTTATAGAGTGTTAGGCTGTAAGGCAAAATCATGTGTATATTGCCCCGTTTCCCCAGAATGGAATTTAATTTTTCCTTGAATATAATTTTTCTTTCAGCTTTGCTCAGTCCTGACATAGGTCTGAATAAACAGACTAAATATTCTTGTTTTTTTTAAGTCTCTCAATGGAAGTTAATTTAATATTGCAGTTTGGTGCTATTTTTTTTTACATCTATTTCTCAACTTACATAAAAAATGTTTTGCTTAAACGAAATGTATTGCATCATTTTTATTTTGTAGTACAGGATCGCCAGGGTTGAAAACTTTCATTTCCAATTTCTCTCTATCATATCATCATAATATATGATACATATCCATCATCATATCATCTCCCTATCTATAGTTTCTCCATAATTCGGCTAATCTTTAGAAATTCTAAAGCAGATCCATGTTTTATTGTATGTAGAGAAGACAAAGATGCAATTTTTTGTTTTGTCTATTTATGATAAGTGGAGTCAAATTCTGCAAAGACAATTGAAATAAGGTTGTACTTTTAGTGGTGAAGAAGAATTTACAGAAAGACTCGGCCTCTAGCAAAATGCAGTCTTCTAGGAGGTACCTCAAGAACCTTCCTATGGGTATATGCTTATGGAAAAAAGACAGAAAGTAAGACCCTTAGATCTCATCTAAGTAAATTTGAAAAGATAGAATAGTTCAGTATAAACGACTCCAGATTGCTAAATGCACTTTCTATATCTTTGTGATCTGAAGTGAAATCTTGAACAATGTCTTCATAAGCTTGTTAATCATTAGCAATGCTAAAAATGATTTTTAATTTGTTCCTCACAGTTTCATGGAGAACAGCCTTTTCCCTTGGTATATAGAATATAGAAACAGAGTTGGAAGGGACCTTGGAGGTCTTCTAGTCCAACCCCCTGTTTAGGCAAGAAACCCTACACCATTTCAGACAAATGATTATCCAATCTCTTCTTTAAAAATTTCCAGTGTTGGAGCATTCACAACTTCTGGAAGCAAGTTGTTCCACTGATTAATTGTTCTCACTGTCAGGACATTTCTCCTTAGTTCTAAATTGCTTCTCTCCTTGATTAGTTTCCTGCCCTACCCTCAGGTGCTTTGGAGAATAGCTTGACTCCCACTTCTTTGTGGCAACCCCTGAGATATTGGAATACTGCTATCATGTCTCCCCTTGTCCTTCTTTTCTTCAAACTAAGTCCTTCTTTTCTTCAAACTACCTGTCAGCGTCCTAGCACTGACATATATAAGGAGAGGAGAAGCTTGAACTTTTGCCTACTTAATTCCTTTGAATATTCTGTCTCCACGGAGATGGGAGGAGGGAAACATTCCTGTGATCTGACGGAGGAGGGATGAGTAAAGTGGCTTGGAAGATAGCCAATGAGACGCAGAGAATTGGGGATCGGAAAGGGAGGGATTGGGGGACAAAGGTCAGTACTGACCGCGAAAGAGCCAGAAAATTTCCTTAAAGATCGGCAGTTTGGAAATTCCTTTATTTTGAGATAGCATCGAAACCTGACACTACCATCAAAAACCGAAGAGCAGTCAAGATCCTCATATTTTTTGTTAGACCAGAAACAAGAAATGTGATGTGCAAAAGTCAACAAGGGCCAAAATTCTCATTAGATGAGGATAGATATTTGCTTACTTTGTCATCTCAAATATCCTGTGTGATGGGTATTCATCAAACCAATGTTCATTGGAAATAAATATAATCTGAGAAACCATCCCTCCAATTAAGAGATCACCTGGCTGGTACCATTCATGCAGAACGGGAAAAGGTTCAGCAACCGAGCAATTCAGCGTATCCATTTTGATCACAGGAAACATCAGAAGGAAGAACATGTCTTCAGTACGAAGGCTACAAGTTGAGACAATCAGCCAGATTTTTAAAAATGGACCAGTCCATGTGCACCTCTTGAGAGAAATGAATTTAACTTGAACTTAAAGTTCAACAGGAGAATAAAGAAATGTTTCGGTACAGACAGCAGTCTTTCCTGATTAATAGTAACAAAAGATGGCAGAATCATGAAACTAAATAGAATTTTTTAGAATAACAGACTTGGGAGGGACCTTGGAGGTCTTCTAGTCCAAACCCTTGCTTAGGCAGGAAACCTTACATCACTTCAGACAAATGGTTATCCAACATCTTCTTAAAAACTTCCAGTGTTGGAGCATTCACAACTTCTAGTGCTCCAACAATAGCATTGTTTCTCTCTTCTTACTATCAAGATTCCCATACAAAGGTTGAGATTTTATCTTATCTCACACTTACTTTCTGTTTTTCAATTATTATTTTTTTGCATAGCCTTCACCGATTTGAGCAGGTCAAGAAATGATAACGATTGGCTCGATTCTCAGAAGATTAAATTATCCATTCTACTTTTTTTTATCCACAATGAAAACAACAGTGATTTTCCCATGGGAAAGATTATTTTAATTGATTTTAAAATCCTTGTTTCAAATTCATCTTGTCGATGAATTTCTAACTTTCCAAAAACAACACTCGAATCACCTTCTTGCTGTTTATTCCCCCAAAGTTCTAAATCTTTAAATACATACTTAAAATTTATTTCATTGAGGACTGAAGGAAACTCACCCACTGAATGCTATCAAACATGCTGTCCCAAAGGTTTTTAATATTCAAAAAGCAGTAAAAAATTATTCTAAAATTACTAATGAAACTTCCCCCCATCAACTACTTTAGAATTCAAGGCAGTATTTAATTTCCTTAATCACTTTCCCTTTTGATTTATAACATCATTTGTTCTATTTTTAAACATGTTGGTCATGACCATTAGGCAGGCCTAAATGATGGCTCTAACTCTTAGAATACCAGAGTTGGAAGGGACCTTGGAGGTCTTCTAGTCCAACCCCCTGCCCAGACAGGAAACCCTACACCACTTCAGACAAATGGCTATCTAACATCTTCTTAAAAACTTCCAGTGTTGGAGCATTCCACTGACTAATTGTTCTCACTGTCAGGAAATTTCTCCTTAGTTCTAAGTTGCTTCTCTCCTTGATTAGTTTCCACCCATTGCTTCTTCTCCTACCCTCAGGTGCTTTGGAGAATAGTTTGACTCCCTCTTCTTTGTGGCAGCCCCTGAGATATTGAAACACTGCTATCATGTCTCCCCTAGTCCTTCTTTTCATTAAACTAGACATACCCAGTTCCTGCAACCGTTCTTCATATGTTTTAGCCTCCAGTCCCCTAATCCTTTTTGTTGCTCTTCTCTGCACTCTTTCTAGAGTCTCAACATCATTTTTACATCGTGGTGACCAAAACTGGATGCAGTATTCCAAGTGTGGCCTTACCAAAGCCTTATAAAGTGGCCATAACACTTCACGTGATCTTGATTCTATCCGTTTATGCAGCCTAGAACTGTGTTGGCTTTTTTGGCAGCTGCAGCACATGGTTGGCTCATATTTAAATGGTTGTCCACTAGGACTCCAAGATCCTTCTCAGTTACTACTAGCTCTTCTTGAGTCAAGTTCATCCCTTGTCAAGTGCTTGCAACACTCTAGATTTTTCTTCTCTCACTTTAACTCAGATTCTTCATAAACCATTGGGAGAGCTTACATGTATGAGACAGTGGTGGGTTTCAACATTTTTTACTACCGATTCTGTGGGTATGGCTTGGTGGGTGTGGCATGGCTTGGTGGGCATGGCAGGGGTAGGATACTGCAAAATCCCCATTCCCTCCCAATCAGATGGGACTTGTGAGGCAGAGAATAGATGGGGGCGGGGCCAGTCAGAATTTTTACTACCCGTTCTCTGAACTACTCAAAATTTCCTCTACCGGTTCTCCAGAACTGGTCAGAACCTGTTGAAACCCACCTCTGGTCCACAGCATATGCTTGAGTGCTGGTTTCTTTATTGTTGATATTGGATCCTAAAAGGCAAAATCAACATACCACTTCAGTGTTGGGTTTATCGATTTTAAGGATGGTTGCTGCATGTGTTGTGATGTCGTTGTTCTTCTTTACTATATTTAACCATAGTCCCAGTTTTTTTACAGAAATTGCCAGGTTTTTAATTCACGCATTGGTGCGACATAAGACTCTGTCTATCAGAAGAGTCTGTTTACCAGCCATGTCTGTGAGAAGTGTCTGCATTTTATTCTCTTCAAGGAAGTAAAATATTGCATCTGTGTGGGTTTCTTCTTTCCCTTATCTTGCATCTCTAGGTACAAATGCTTAATGGTTAGCTTGGGGTGCTTGGCCAACTCATCATGACCAAATTGCCATGGCCAACTCATCATGACCAAATTGCCATGGCCAACTCATCATGGGACAATTCAATGCTGTGTTAATTGTTTCATTTGGTTACTTTCATTATTGGTGACCACATTTTCATTGAAGTTATTGCAACTCTTGTATTTCTGGATGGAATTTCTTTACTTTATTATCATTGGCTACAGTTCCATTGAAATTCATTTAACTTTTGTATTTGTTGAATTGTCCTGTGGTGTTGTGTCCCATAGGGAGTTGGTCATGGCAAATTGTCCCATTCTGGCTTGGAGATGGGAGACTATAAACAAACAAACTGTCACATAGTCTGATTGTATATCTATATCTATCGATCTATCTATTCCATCCCATCCCATCCCATCCTATTCTATTTAATATTTGTATCAATCATGCATCCATCCATCCATCCATCCATCTATCCCATTCTATTATATTCTATTCTATTCTACTTAATATTTGTATCAATTATCTATCTATCTATCTATCTATCTATCTATCTATCTATCTATCTATTCCATTCCATTCCATTCCATTCCATTCCATTCCATTCCACTCCACTCCACTCCACTCCACTCCACTCCACTCCACTCCACTCCACTCCATTCTATTTAGTATTTGTATCAATCATCTATCTATCTATCTATCTATCTATCTATCTATCTATCTATCTATCTATTTACCTGCCTACTTACTTACATACCTACCTATCTGACCATATGTCATACATACATGCACCTGCATGTAGTCAATATATTAAATCTCCTAAAAGCAACCAACCAAGGAAACCTAATCCCAAAGTCTTGTTCACTTGGGTTGTTGGAAAAGAGAAAGGGTTGGTTAAAGATTCTTGGGAAATGACTGAAAATGCAGGACCATGAGCACTTCTTCTGGAATGGGTCATCATAATAAGTATTAATAATAATTCTCCTTAAGGTCTCCTTTGGTAGAAATCAAAATTATGTTTCCTGTAGATTGCAAATTCAATTCTTTTTCTCAGTAACTTTTCATAGTGAGAAAAATCACACACATAACATAACAAATCTTAATAACAATAATAATCCTCCATAAATCTTCCTTTGACAGAAATTAAATAGTGAGAAAACTCACATGATGTATTAAGTCCTCTTTATTAGTTGCTCTCTCTGGTTTAGCTCAGGCTTAAAAACAATGATGTAGCATTTTGGCAAAAATATGCATCCCAGTAATGCAGCACTGGAGGCCAAGATGGAGAAGACCTCCACAGCTACCATGGCTTTGCCTTTTGTGCTCAGATAGGCTGGAAAGAAGGAGATCCACACACTGCAGAAGGCCAACATGCTGAAGGTGATGAACTTGGCTTCATTAAAGCTGTCGGGTAATTTACGGGCAAGAAAAGCCACAATAAAGCTGGCAATGGCCAAGATACCCATGTAGCCCAAGACACAGTAGAAGAAGAAAGCTGACCCCTCATTGCATTGTAAAATCATTTTTTGGAGCTCTGAATGCATGTCCAACTCAGGGAATGGGGGAGATGTCGACAACCAAAGAATACAGATACATACCTGGAAGAGAGAGCATGAAAGGACAATAGAAAAAGCCAATCTTTTCCCCACCCACTTCCTCATCTGAGATCCTGGTTTTGTGGCCATGAAAGCCACAACCACAGTGATGGTTTTGGCCAGTACACTAGAAATGGCCACTGAGAAAGTGATGCCAAAAGTTGGTTGTCGGAGAAGGCAGGTCACCTTGCCAGGTTGGCTGAGGAAGAGCAAAGAGGAGAGAAAACAGAGCAGAAGAGAGACAAGGAGGTTGTAGGTGAGGGACCGATTGTTGGCTTTGACAATAGGAGTATCCCTGTACTTAATAAAAGTTCCAAGTACCCAAGAAGTCAAGAAGAAGAAACAAAGAGCAGCTGAGGCTAAACCAATTCCTAAGGTTTCTTCAAAGGTTAGAAACACCACCGGTTTCAGGATACATCCTTTCTTTTCTTTATTTGGATAATGATCTTCTGAACATTCAAAACAGTCATCCATATCTGAAAGGAAAATCAAGGAATTTGTCATCTATCCATTCCAAATATTTGAAAATATTCATCTGATGGGTGCCAACTGTTATGGCTTCAACTGGTAATTAGTATGGTCATTTTTCTATGAAATTGCAGTTTTTTCTCTCCTCTGTTGTATCATTTAGGATTTGAGTGCAAAATAGTACAATGGAAAACACAAATTTTCTTTGAAATCAATGTACTACATTTGGATTTTTTCCATTTTTCCAAACCATATAAAAAAAACCTATGATGATGAATATCAGAGAAGCAGAAATACTGACTCCGAGTGCAAATCAATATAATTCAGTTAAATTTTCAATTTGATTCAATTAAAATGTGAGTAAGCTAAGGAAACAAAAAAGGATTGATCCAACAAGCAAAAAGAATTATCTACTTTTACTTTCAAGAAAATGAAATCCCTGTTCTCTATACTTTATTCTGCTCTTTAGTGTTTTTTTATGGTTCTACAAATACCTACTCTATGTCCCTTTGAGTATATCTAATTTATTGACAAATCTTACTTTGTTTGCTGAAGCTCTTTTGCTTTCTCTTACTTGTGGTAAAGAAGGCCAGAAAATGGCAGATCAAATGGAAAAAATGTTTTCATTCATTCATGGATTCATTCATGGATTCATTCATTCATTTATGGATTCATTCATTCATTCATGGAATCATTCATTTGTTCATTCATTCATTCATTCACCCTGACCTGAGGCAATCAAAAGGTTGTTTCTTAACTTTTATTTGTAAAAGCTGTCATTTTTTATTTAAATTTGAACTAATGGTTGTCTTTGAAAAATATAGATTAGAAATCATACTTTATAGGGGCCAACAAAAATAAAAAGATAAAGAAGTTATTGAATTATTGAATTAATTAATTAGAATTTGTCAAACAAAAATGAGAACAAGAATAAAAGAAAAAAAAATACAATGACAGGGATGATAAGCAGGTTAGTGCACTTATGCACGCCTCCTCTACTGACTACTTAAGTATGAAGTAAGGTCCACGGAAGTCAATTTGTGACTGAAATGAATATTCACCCTTAAAGTTACTAATTATATTCATCGTAAAATAGTTTAAGGCGTTTTACTTAAATCTGTCTAATGAAAACTTGATGGATTGTCTCACCTACCCTTTTGATTTGAAATCTTCCCTTCTGGACATGAAACACAGTTGTAGCAACAGAATTGTTTCCCTTCCAACCCTTTCTTCCAGTATCCAGGGGAGCAATGGTCATTACACTGAGAAATTGGGAGAACCTGGTCATAAACATAAAAGTCTTGTAAAGGGAGATTTTAAAACAGTTACTAATTCTAGGCAACTTAGAACTAAGGAGAAATTTTCTGACAGTTAGAATAATTAATCAGTGGAACAACTTGCCTCTAGAAGTTGTGAATGTTCCAACACTGGAAGTTTTAAAGAAGAGATTGGATAACCATTTGTCTGAAGTGGTGTAGAGTTTCCTGCCTAAGCAGGGGGTTGGACTAGAAGACCTCCAAGGTCCCTCCCAACTCTGTTATTCTATTCTGTTCTGTTCCATTCTGTTCCATTCCGTTCCATTCCGTTCCGTTCCGTTCCGTTCCGTTCTGTTCTGTTCTGTTCTGTTCTGTTCTGTTCTGTTCTGTTCTACTCTACTCTACTCTACTCTACTCTACTCTACTCTACTCTACTCTATTCTTTGGAAAATAGGTTGATCCCCCCGCCTTCTTTGTGGCAGCCCTCAAATTGAGTTTCCAAATTGCTACAGGATTTTATTAAATGGGATTTTTACTATAAAGATGTTGAAATTACATGGTTGTGTAACAGGAGCTCCTTGCAAAAGGGCAGGGTGAGTAGTTACTTTTGTGTGATGACATCCATACCAGGGGTGAAATGCTCCTGGTTTGGACTGGATCGCCCGATCCGGTAGCAATGGAGGCAGGTGGTTCGGAGAACCGGTAGCAAAAATCCCTGACACCCCCCCCCCCGCATTGCCCAGCTGAGCCGCACAATCATCAGAGGCTTTTTTAAAATTTATTTTTAAAAGCATTTTTCCTACAATCTCTTTGGCTGAAAAAATACTCTTAAAAGTAAAAAAAAAAAAAAGCCTCTGATGATCACACGGCTCAGCTGGAATCATCAGAGGCTTTTAAAAGTGTTTTTTTTCTACAACCTCTTCAGCTGAAGAGGTTATAGAAAAAAATGTTTTTAAAAGGAAAAAAAACCTCTGCCAATCAGGCAAGTCATCTGGGATCGTCAGAGGCTTAAAAAAAAAAAAAAAGTAAGAAAGCCTCTGCTGATCAGTCAAGTCAGCTGGGATCGTCAGAGGCTTTAAAAGCATTTTTTTACAACCTCTTCAGCCAAAGAGGTTGTAGAAAAAATGGTTTTAAAAGTTTTTTTTTTTAAAGTTGGCCACGCCCACTCAGTCATATTACCCACCCACCCACCAAGTCACACCCACAGAACCAGTAGTAACAAATTTTACATTTCACCATTGATATATACCTGGTTAAAAGCTGGGTGCCAGACAATCCCATCTTCATCAATGAATAATTCTTTCCCTTTTGGAGCACTGGGATCTAAGTCTCCAACTCTAACTTTCTGAAAGGATCTGTTGGGAAACGTGATCAGGTTGATGATGTCGAATCCACCTGTTGCTTCCCCTTTCTCATTCAGGAACACTCTCTCCCCAGCTGAATTGTTAAAAGAAATGCCTTGAAGAAATGGATGGAGCTACTTGAAAGGGAATGAAAGACAAAGAGAGTTGGAAAGGGAGAATAATGGAGAAAGACCATGATATTCAAACTTCAGTCATGCATTCTTCCCATTCCTGTAATAATGTTCAAATTTAGTATATTGAGAAAATTGATAATCTATATTGCATGGAAATGTACAGGTCTATTATTAATTTGATATCATTTTAAGGAAATATAGAAAATAAAACCAAATGAAAACAGATTGTTTTGAATATGATTTCTGTTTACTGCTCAAATTGGTCAAGTCTAGAAACCATACATTGTCTTCTCCTCCATTTTTCTTCTTCATCGTTAGCTTTTGGGAGCCTGGTACCTGACAAATTTCTTTTAGTCAGATTTTAGAGATTCAAGCATTCTTTGGTAGGTAGATTTAAGGGAAGAGGAGGAGGGAGGGAGGAAGAGAGGGGAGGGGGATAGTATACTCAGGTTCTCAATCCTGAAATATTTGAGAATAGGTTATATGAACATAGACCTTATGGTAAACTCTTGGGGGTTTAACATAAGTCTCAAAACCAACACCTCTTCCTGAAAATAATTTGGCTAGATCAGCAAAGAATGACTGTCACAAAAACTAACAACCCCTGTCTAACAACCAAGTCTTTACTAAATTACAAAAATCCAATGAAGAGAAATGTTTACATTTTAGAAATGTGTATTGGACAGGGGAAAAAAAATTACATCCTCATCTGGTGGGATGTTCATATTTTTCCAGTATTTAGCATATGTAATCCTTGCTGCCGTCAATATGTGTAACATTAAATATGTGGACGCTTTATCATAATCCTCTGATAGTATACCTAAAAGGCATGTTTCTGGTTTAAACTCAATATTTTGTTCAGTTATCGTTTCCAGCCAGTTATGTATGTTCTCCCAATATTTTCTTGCTTTATCGCATGTCCACCACATGTGGTAATAGGTGCCTGGGGCCTGGTTGTAATTAGAAAAAATTGGGACTGTGCTGAAATGGACAGACTAACTTTAAATATTAAAGACAAAGAAGATTCAGAATACTATCGGACATGGAATAAATGGATAGAATGAATGGATAGAGAAAAGAAGTAGAAATTAGAGAAAGTAAGATTATGAATGTTAATATTATAAGTATTGAAAATAAAGAAGAGGGAGTCAAACTATTCTCCAAAGCACCTCAGGGTAGAACAAGAAGCAATTTCCTGACAGTTAGAACAATGAATAAGTGGAACAATTTGCCTCCAGAAGTTGTGAAATTTTTAAGATGTTGGATAACCATTTGTCCAAAGTGGTGTAGGGTTTCCTGCCTGGGCAGGGGGTTGGACTAGAAGACCTCCAAGGTCCCTTCCAACTCTCTTATTCTGTTCTGTTCTGTTCTGTTCTGTTCTATTCTATTCTATTCTATTCTATTCTATTCTATATAACTATAAACATAGTAATTGATAAAAATGTAAATAAGCTAATGCAAGAGGAAACCTAGTTTAAACTTTTTGGTTATATTATTATTACTGTTATTATATTATTACTATTGCTATTTAGTTTGTGTGCTAAAGATTTACTACCAACTCTCGTTGGTTGTGTTCTATTTGTAAATGATACTCTGACAATGCACCAGTTTCCAGAAATGTTTATGAATGAAAATTTACAAAAATAGAAATAAAACAAAAGACTGCCTTGAGAAGCATTGTCACTGAATTCTTTTTACAACCAGGCTAAATAAATTTACACAAGACAGGATCAATCTAGATAGAGATAAAATGGTTATTTGTGAAATTAATTTATGAAATTGACTAGACTGAAATTTGCAAAGACAAGGGTTTTTTTTAATCCACTTTTGTTCTATAATTTATGATCAGCTGTTACATTAATACATTTGTTTCTCAGTATCTGCACTGATCTATGGCTACAAGCCAGTGGAAACAAGTCATATTAAACTATGGAGGAGAAGTATTTACTGGAACAAAAAATAGGTGTCGGCAAGGAGACATTACCTGCCAAGGTTGCAGATCTGGAATTTCAAACTTTTTAATTACTCTATGTTGGGATTTTGATCTTACTGCCTCATGCAAAGAATGTGCCACTGCATAAACAGCATTGTAGATGCTGTAGCTTTGGCCAGTCATCTGCAACTCAAACAGAGGCGCAGGCAGATTCTCCAAATTCTCTTCTCCACTACAAGTTTGATTGGATATGGAGGGTGATTCTTCATTGGAATGTGAGCAGTCAAACAATTGTTGCCAAACCTCTTGAAGAAATCCATCCTTGTGGGTTGAAGGTTTGATGACTTGAAGAAACTCCGTGAAGCCTTGAACTTCTCTTGAATGAAATGTAAAGGAAAGAGCCCCATGGAACAACTGGACATCCCAAGCCCTTTGAAGTCCTGTCAGCATCAATTGGATACATCAGGATCCAAACCTTCCTAAAAGATGCACTCTCTTTGTTTTCAGGATCACGTAGAAACACCACACTTCTGAGCCACAGAATCGTGAAGGAATCGCCATAGACAAGAAAAGTGTTGACTTTCTGATCTGTCAGTTGATTAGAAATAACTGAGATCACCTCCAGAAATTCTGAAATTTCTTCTAATTGGGCTCTCTGCGGAACCTTTTGTGTGAAAGCCAAGCAGATCCCGTTTTGAGAAAGCAACGGGTGCAGTTTCTGCAAGAAATGTTCTCCCTTATTCTTATCGAAAGTGAAGACTCCAATCCACTTCCATCCAAAATGGAGAAGAAGCTGTATAACTCCATTGTATTGATGTTCCTCTTTTGGGACCATGCAATAAAGGGAAGATAACTTAGTAGCCTGGAACGCCTCTTGGGCAAAGGAGCCATAGGTCAACTACATAGGAAATTTAGTCATTATTCATTATGACAATGAAGGGAAACTGAATGAATTCCAAAAGTGAATTATAATACTTATTACAAAAGAAGACAATTTTCTGTCTTACTCTCCTGTCCAAATTACCTGTGGAATCTTGAAGACTTTTATAGTTTCTGCCATATAGGCAGAAGTATCGGACACAAGTGCTCCAATGATGGCCATGAGAGTCTTCTGGCTATCACATTTGTAGTTAGGGACAAATTCCTGAGATTTGAAAAGCAGGTCCAGAGTGGTGCGGTAGGTCATCCTTGGTTTGTAGTAACTGTCATAGATGTGGAACCCGAGAGTGACGTTAGGTAAGATCTGGGAATCCTCATTGATCTCCTTCACAGCAAAGGCCAAGGCAAGGGCGTGCTGGTAGAATTTGGTGACTACACTGCCAATAGGTTAAAGATCCCCATTGAAGAAGTAATTTTAAAGTTCTTATAATATGGCATCATTTCTAAATGAATAACAAACATTTCTGTTTCTGATGGAAGTAGGAAGATGAGAATTATGAAATGAGTTTCCATGTATTTCCATGATTTGCAACTAATGGACATAAACTGTTTCAACTTCTACCTCAGAATGACGCTATAGAGCAATGCACACCAGAACAACTAGACACAAGAACATTTTTTCCTGAACGCCATCACTCTGCTAAATGAATATTTCCCTCAACACTGTCAAACTATTCAATAAGGCTGCACTACTATTAATCTTCTCATCATTCCTATCACCCATCTCCTCCCACTTAGGACTGTGTGACTGTAACCTTGTTGCTTGTATCCTTATGATTTATATTGATTGTTTCCTAGTATGATAGACTATAACTATCATTAAATGTTGTACCTTATGATTCATGATGAATGTATCTTTTCTTTTCTTTTTCTTTTTTTTAATTTGATTTATATGCCGCCCTTCTCCGGAGACTCAGGACGGCTTACAATGCATTAAGCAATAGCCTTCATACTTTTGTATATTTATACAAAGTCAACTTATTGCCCCCACAATCTGGGTCCTCATTTTACCTACCTTAGAAAGGATGGAAGGCTGAGTCAACCTTGAGCCTGGTGAGATTTGAACTTGCAGTAATTGCAGGCAGCTGGTGTTAATAACACTGTTAACTGCTTTAGTCTGCTACGCCACCAGGACTCTCCCTAAAACCCAGAACTTTTATGTACACTGAGAGCATATGCACCAAAGACAAATTCCTTTTTGTGTCCAATCACACTTGGCCAATAAAGAATTCTATTCTATTCTAATAGGTATTATGACCAAAAATAGTTCCCTTTTCAAGACACATTTTATTAATGTAGCACAAACTAAAATTATAAACAGACTAAGCAAGTATCATGGATTTCCTGTGTGTAAGTTTTGTACAGAGTGAAAATGCAGAGTAATAAATACCCTGAATATATGTTGAAGAACATATATTTTATGAATAGGGAAAAAAAAGAATCATATATTTGATGAGAAAAGCCTCAACCTAATTAAAACGAAAATGATTTTTTCTCCAACAACTGGATACATTTGTCAGAATGGTCAAACAATTGGCAACTCCAAATCTCAACCAACAAATGCTCTGTCTTACACATTGGCAGCAAATATCAGAACACCAAATACAAGTTGGGCAGATACGACCTCATAGACAACCCTCATTCTGTCAAGGAACTTGGAGTACTTATCTCAAATGATCTAAGCACCAGAGCTCACTGAAACAGCATTGCCAAAAAGGCATTAAGAGTTGTTAACCTAATCTTGTGAAGCTTCTTCTCTGGTAATATTATACTGCAAACTAGGGCATACAAAACCTTTGCTAGACCAATTCTTGAATACAGCTTGTCTGCCTGGAATCCGCACTGTATATTGGACATTAATACAATTGAGCGAGTCCAGAGGTATTTCACAAGAAGAGTACTCCACTCATCTGCTCACAATAGAATACCTTAGGCCACCAGGCTTAAAATTTTGGGCTTGGACAACCCAGAACTATGCTGCCTATGGTCTGACCTTAGCATAGTACACAAAATTATCTGCTACAACGTCCTCCCTGTCAATGACTACTTCAGCTTTAACTGCAATAATACACAAGCAAACAGTAGATACAAACTCAAGGTAAACCACTCCAAACTCAATTGCAGAAAATACGACTTCAGCAACAGAGTGGTCAATGCCTGGAATGCACTACCTGTTATTGACTCTGTCGTTAGATCCTCAAACCCCCATAACTTTAACCTTAAATTTTCTACTGTGGACCTCACCCCATTCCTAAGAGGTCTGTAAGGGGCATGCATAAGCACACCAGCCTGTCCTACTATCCCCATTTATTCGTACCTATTTGCTGTGTTCATATCATGTTTATACATATATCTGTTATCTCGTACATGTTTGACAAATTACATAAACAAACAAACAAACAAACAAACATTCAAAAGACAAAGAAGGTTTTGATTACATGCCAAACCTACATTTATGCTCAAACAGTTTTTATTCATACAAACAATTCCTGGCAGTTTGGCTAAGATTAGAAAATGCACGGGAAAAGATCCTTACACTGGTAAGTCATAAGGTTTTAGAGAAGGATGGTCGTTAAATTCAATTTCATAAAAGTGGTAAAAAATTTGAGAGACCATGCCACCAATGATGAGGTCACCAGGCTGGAACCACTCATGTGGAACAGGGAAAGCTTCACTTGCAGGGCATTTCAGAGTAGCTACTCTGTGCACCGACAATATCAGAAGGAGCAACATTGTCGCTTTATTGTTAAGGAGAAAATATTTGGGTCTGTCATTCAAAGAGAAGTTCTGGCAGATAAAAGAGGAGGGAAAGAACTGGTGGAAATGAATCTCATAAAGCCATCATTACCCTTTACTGCCTCCATGTGGCTCTAGTAATATTTAAATGTATTGTTTTTTCATTTCCTATTCCCTTCTGCACAGAACGTTTGATGTTTCCACCTTTGAGAATAATAAAGTGATTTCAGTAATTCATAAGTGTCATAATTACCTCTGAAATATTGGCAACGTGGCAATTTTTATTTGTATATCTGATTTTGTATTTCTTCATGGCTTAGGCCCAGGATATCTGTCGGACCACCTGCAACCAGCATCGACTTCCCATCACCTGGTGCGTTCCTTTGGAATCAACTTCCCGTGGGTCTTCGGCTGGCCCCCGACCTTCGTACCTTCTGCCGTGAGCTTAGGACCTGGCTGTTTAAACGCCCTAGCCAGGACTGATGGGGTCTACTATTTTAAATTGGTTTTTAATCTGTTTTAGTCTGTTTTAATTTGTATTTATTGGGATTGTTTCGTTGATGTGAGCCGCCCTGACTCCTTCGGAGAGAGAGCAGCATATAAATCCAATAAATTAATAATAATAATAATAATAATAATAATAATAATAATAATAATAATAATAATAATAATAAACATCTGTCTTTCTTTTGGACGACCCAATAAGTGACTGAAGTTTAATCTGTTTTGAAAATGCAGGGAAGATATGGACTTTGGTGAGAATGCTTTTAAATGGATAAAACAAATTTACAGCTCACAAAGGCCAAAGGTAATTGGAAATGGAAAATTATTAAAAAGATGATTAGGGGACTGGAGGCTAAAATATATTTATTTATTTATTTATTTATTTATTTATTTTATTTATTAATTAATAAATAAAATAAATAAACTAAAAAGATGATTAGGGGACTGGAGGCTAAAACATATGAAGAATGGTTGCAGGAACTGGGTATGTCTAGTTCAGTGATGACTAACCTTTTCCAGATCGAGTCCCCAAAGTGCAAGTTTCTGCCCACCTGCACATGCGCAACCAGCCCCCCCACATGTGTCCCACCTCCACGCATGTGCACACCAGTGGTGAAATCTAAAATTTATTACTACCGGTTCTGTGGGCGTGGCTTGAGGGAGGGTAATGTGACTGGGTGGGCATGGCCAATTTTTTTTTTTTTTACTTTTAAAACCATTTTTTCTACAACCTCTTCGGCGAAGAGGTTGTAAAAAAATGCTTTCAAAAGGCTCTAACGATCCCAGCTGAGTTGCCTGATCATCAGAGGCTTTTTTTTCTTTTAAATGCCTCTGACGATCAGGCAACTCAGCTTGGATCGTCAGAGGCATTTAAAAGAAAAAAAAGCCTCTGATGATCAGGCAATTCAGCTGGGATTGTCAGACATCTTCTTGGATCGTCGGCTTGAATGTCAGCTTGGATCGTCAAACTCATCTTGACGATCAGGCAGCTCAGCCTCTGACGATCCAAGCTGAGTTGCCTGATCATCAGAGGCTTTTTTTCTTTTAAATGCCTCTGATGATCCCAGCTGAGTTATCTGATTGGCAGAGGCATTTTTAAAAAGCCTCTGCCGATCAGGCAACTCAGCTTGGATCGTTAGAGGCATTTAAAACAAAAAAAGCCTCTGATGATCGCGCGGCTCAGCTGGGCATGGGGAGGGGGCAGAGATTTTTGCTACCGGTTCTCCGAACTACACGCCTCCATTGCTACTGGATTGGGCAATCCGGTCCGAAATGGAGCATTTCACCCCTGGTGTACACAGTCCCCCCACACGCACCCCATGCTTGTGCACGTGCCCCCTCCACATGCCCCATCCCCCATGCATGCACAGCAAAGACCCGAAGAACAGCCGGCGGGTGTCATAGATCCACGGCAAAGCTGAACTAGGGTGACGGCTCGCATGCCCACCGAGAGGGCAATGCATGCCACCTCTGGCACACATGCCATAGGTTCACCATCACAGATCTAGTTCAATGAAAAGAAGGACTAGAGGAGACATGATAGCAGTCTTCCAATATCTCAGGGACTGCCACAAAAAAGAGGGAGTCAAGCTATTCTCCAAAGCACCTGAGGACAGGACAAGAAGCAATGGGTGGAAACTAATCAAGGAGAGAAGCAACTTAGAACTAAGGAGAAATTTCCTGACAGTTAGAACAATTAACCAGTGGAACAACTTGCCACCAGAAGTTGTGAATGCTCCAACACTAGAAGTTTTTAAGAAGATGTTGGATAACCATTTGTCTGAAGTGGTGTAGGGTTTCCTGCCTAAGCAGGGGGTTGGACTAGAAGACCTCCAAGGCCCCTTCCAACTCTGCTTCTATATACTATATATGAAGGGAAAAGGCTGTTCTCCCTCTGTAAAGACCAAAAGCTTTTCGTACACT